CAAGAAGGATTTGAGCTGACATGAAAGTATAAGCACCATGATATTACTTGTTTCTTTGCATTATCCTTTTGGAAAATATTTGGAGATTGTTAGGAATAGGATGCATCTGTATTTGGAGATTTGACCAAAGTTTAATGGAATATCTAGGGGACTGTACTCCTTACGCATGGAACCATTTGGTGACGTGAGTTTAACGTTTGTTTAGTCTCCATCTGTATTAGAATACATGATGTCTCCCCTGCAGCGACCTAGCAGTTTTGTCTGGACAAAACCCAATTGGCGAGCTCTGATCTAATTACCTTGTCTTTGATTGAGTACCTTTTTTATATATTTTTTGTACATTTCTTCCATGGTCATCTGTAAATTATTTTCACTAATGGCTGTTGTTTCCCTTCCTCGTTCTTAAGTATCTGCTCATCACTGAAGTATCTCATTTTTCAATTTGTATTTTCTTGTATTGTTTGCTTAGATGAATTTTGTTTCTGTTGATTATTAATGTTCTTGAGAAAGCTATATGTAAAGAACAAAGCTTACTGACAGGTGTTACTTCTTCATGGCGTCAGGTTTGATGGCACAACAAATGCAGTTGGAATCCAGTTCTTTCTAAAGAATGTTCACCCTGAAATGAAAACTGCTGCTTCAACAATTTTTGGATCCTTAGGCATGCTACATGCCAGGCCTAATACATTCGGGGAACTTATGCGAGTGATCATATCTCCCTCCCAGGTAGTCCAGAAAGCAGTTCAGTGGGCATCGAAGGGTTTCAGTCCAGATATTGTTCTGCACATGCGAATGATGGCCAATAGGTATGACCCACTGTATGTGGTTTAAATGGAAGAAACCTGTCATAATTGTTCAACATTAACTATAAAGTTATATTAACATTATGTTCACGTGAAGAAATTCAGTTCATCAGTAGCATTGAAATATGCTTCTTCTTTCCTGAATATTGTGTATCGAAACTTAAGTCATCCCTTTTTTCTGGCTATTTCTTCCTGATGTATAAGTTAGTTTTAGTCCTCTCCAATATGGTGAGAAATGCTGCAAACTATGCCATCTCATGCTCAGCATTTGCAAAAAAGAGGATAGATAGTTTGAAATTATTTCAGAAGTTGGACATTAAAGATTTCTGAATACCCAAGAAGATTGACAAATTAATGCGGATGGTAAGGGTGTTCAAAGTCTTTGCACCTCATGCAGATTATCTTTCTTTGCGACACTTTCAGCTTTAGAATGTCAGCAACCTACATCATGCAGATTATCTTTATTTGCAACTCCTCGTCATATCATTTCAGAAGCTGAAGATAACTAATTTTCTGACTAGGCCAGTACGAGCAAGAACTGCTGCAGTTGGTTGTATTCAGAAAGCTATACAGATTTCTGGTTTGAAGGGTACACCTCGGGTGGCATTGATCTCCGACACACCATCATTTGTTAAGGAGATGAAGCAAGAGATCAGTGAGTTTGCAGAGGTTAGTTGCTTTTGGTTGAATATTGTTAGATGGACTTTGTACTTCTGTTGAGCATTGTGGATCATGGTTAGAATCCATGTAATTCATAGTTACTGATTTGGAATTTCCTAGAAAACGGGATGACTATTCTATACGTTCTGGGCAGGTAACTTATTTTGATTACAAATCGTTTGCCAAGAGTTTTGACCTAGAGATGAATGGAAAGGACAAGGTATGTTACACTCTTACCTGAAAGATCTTTGCTGCATTTTCTGCATCATCCGATAGGCGATACGCCGAAAGCCTGAAACCTTTAGTGTTTCCATGGGTATTAGGTTTATATCATGGACCGTATACTCTAGGTCAGACATATCTTTCATAGATGTACCACGTTGATTTTTACAAAATCTCATTTCGCTCATTCTGTTGTGTATAGCCCTTGGACTTCCGGTCACGAGACTGGGGATCAGCTCCAAGGTGGGCGGCCTTCGTCGATTTCTTCCTGGCCTCAAGCGCCAGGCACACGGTCATCACCGGAGCGCATTGACGCGTGGGAATGACCTACGCGCAGCTCATCGCAGCGCTGGCCGCAGCAAACAGACATGGTATGTTACGTCACAACGGCCCGACCATCCCTCAAAACATTTCTACACTCCATCAAGTCTCAGAGTCACCAAAACTGATATATTTTCGGGATTCTGGTGTGCGTTTCAGGTCACGAGCCCTCGGGCGCGAACTTCACGTTCCTGAGCAGCATCCACAGCAACCTGCTGGTGGACGGGCTGTCGACGCAGGCCGGCTGGGGCCACGCCTGGAGCAGGTACGCGGGGCCCCTGAGCTGCCCGCGCCAGGCGCACCAGTGTGCGCCGACCCCGCTCCTCCCGCACGCGTGGTGGGACGGCCGGTGGCGGAGCCCCACCGGCAGGGACGTCAGGAGGCTGCTGGGCTACGGCGTCTCGTTGTCGGACACGGGGGAGGTGGACGAGGAGCGGCTCGCGTCGCACTGTCGGTCGAGGGAAGATCATGTCAAGAGGTTCCATCTTCTCCCGCCGTACAAGAGTTGAGCAATGGTGCGGGATGGAGGTGGGTGAGGCAGGCGCCTCGTGGCAGGCTTTTAGAGAGAACCGCTGACACAACTCCGTTTGAGTTGCTCGCTTACGCCAAGGAGCTAATGTACTGGTATAGTAGGCCAGAACGGTCAGGGATTTTGATGCTAAATTTGTGGTGCACATCTGATGGTTACAGTTTTGGTAGGCTGGTGTATCTGTCGTGCTGGTGGTATACCAAAAAGGGTGGTCATGTAAGGGGTTACTGGGGAAAAACGGTGAGGCTTTGTTCCAATCCATTTGGAGCATCGCATATCTGTCTGCTCCAACCATTTTCCACCCTCCAGATCACTCTCTTCCTCACAGTTCAAGAACTAAAAACCATACTAATCTCTTGATTCGGACGCAAAAAATCTTGCTACTGAACTACAAGGGATTTTTACAGCCGTACATGAGCACAAGCCGACCTAGCTCAGTGGTAGAGCGCGTGGCTTTTAACCACGTGGCCGTGGGTTCGATCCCCACGGTCGGCGATCCTGTCGTAGCATACAATTTTTCCCCATCAGATAAAGGCCTCTTTTTTTTTTTACCACTAAAGGCCTCTTTTTTTTGCGAAATACTAAAGGCCTCTTTCATTAAGCTAATGCTTTTCTTTTTCTTTGAAATGTGAAGGATTGGTTCCTTCTACCTCTGTTCCTAAATATTTGTCTTTTTAGAGATTTAACAAGTGACTACATACAGAGCAAAATGAATGAATCTACACTCTAAAAAATGTCTATATGCATCTGTATGTGCTAGTCCGTTTGAAATCCCTAAGAAGACAAATATTTAGAAACGGAGGGAGTACAAAACAAAGGCTTCAAACAAAAAAAAAACAATGCAAATTCTATCCCATAGAATTTCTAAAATATCCTATTCCATTCGTTCCTAAATATAAGTCTTCTTAGATATTCCAATATAGACTACTCTATAATATGTTTATATACATCCTTATACGTAGTTCCCCGCAAAACAAAGCATTATTACCTATGAAAATCACAGGAAGTGAGATGACATATATGATAGAATTTCTTTTCATTGAGTCTAAGGTAATACTTTTTTTTCTCTGAAATGTGAAGGATTGGTTCCTACAAAACAAAGGCTTCAAAGGAAAAAAATCACTGCAAATTCTATCCCATGGAATTTCTAAAAATCCTATTCCCTTCATTCCTAAATATATGTCTTTTCTTAGATATTCCAATATAGACTACTCTATAATATGTTTATATACAACCTTATACGTAGTTCCCCGCAAAACAAAGCATTATTACCACTAAAATCATTATTGCCTATAAAAATCATAGGAAGTGAGATGACATATAGGATAGAATTTTTTTTCATTGAGTCTAAGGTAATACTTTTTTCGATTGAAATGTGAAGGATTGGTTCGTACAAAACAAAAGCTTCAAAGGAAAAAAAATCCACTGCAAATTCTATCCCATAGAATTTCTAAAAAATCATATTCCCTTCGTTCCTAAATATAAGTCTTCTTAGATATTCCAATATAGACTACACTCTATAATATGTTTATATACACCCTTATACGTAGTTCCCCGCAAAACAAAGCATTATTACCTATAAAAATCATAGGAAGTGAGGTGGCATATAGGATAGCAAGTTTTTCATTGAGTCTAAGCCAATATTTTTTTTCTTTAAAATGTGAAGGATTGGTTCCTATCGTCCGTTACACGCACTTAACAACAGCATGCGTAAGGATTGTTTTCTAACAACAACACACAATCTCTAAAAAGCCTTATATTTAAAAACCGAGGGAGTATAAATAAAGAAAGCCTAAGAAAAATACACCATGCGTTTTGTCATCCTGGAAATCTTCGTTACACGCACTTAACAACAACACAATAAGGAATGGGAATTCCTCTCCTGTACATTCTTTAGTATAGTTCTTAATCCTTTAGTATAGTTCTTAATCCGAGCCACGAGTCTGATTTCATGTGTTCACCCCATCAGATAAATGTCCATGAAAATTATTACTGGTTTTATTCTAATATTCTACATCTGCAGGCTCGAAATCCTGTAAACTGGCATCAAATCAGAGGAGGTTTGCAGGCGTTCGAACTCAAGCCACGTATGAGTCCAACAAAGCGGAGCCACCCAAAAACCTTTCCCATGCGTGCGCTCAAACTCTACTTCCGCTCTGGGCATCACATTCATGCTGGTCCAGAGTGCCGACGCCACATTAATGCCAGTCCAAGTGCCGACATGACAGGCCACTACAGCATACAATCGGCCCGGCGGCCAAGAGCTCGGCCCGTAATGCATTCACTCGCTCTTCGTGTCACGTTTATGTCAGCCCAAAGTCTAGGCTAATGCTTTTTTTTTCTTTGAAATGTGAAGGCTTGGTTTCTATCCTTCATAGGAATATAGATCTATTACTGCAAATCAAAGGACTCGGAAAAGAAAATTCATTGAACATCCTGCCCTATAGAATTTCTATCAAAATCCTACAAAGCAAAGGAGACCTAAGTCCTCTTTACATGCATTTAGCAGAAGCACAATGAGAAAGAGGCACTAGTAGAAAAAGGCCTATTTGTCCCGGTTCATAAGGCCCAATTGTCTCGGTTCGGCAACCGAGACTAAAGGGTCGGTACTAAAGCCCAATACCTTTAGTTCCGGTTCTTACACCAACCGGGGCAGATGGGCCTCCACGTGGCCCGCTGCAGCTTGTCCAGGTAGGGGGGCCTTCTGTCCCGGTTGGTAGCACCAACCGGGACCAATAAGCTTCCACGC